GAAAACTAACTCATTCAATAAACGGGCTATGTAGTATTGATCAAAATAAGCAGACAGCATCTTTGCCTTCAAGGGGCCCTTCTAGTTTTCCAGTCTTCTACCAGTTTGGTTAAAGTTGGTCTTTTTCTTTAGAATCTAATATTCCTTTAGATGAACTTAAAAGATTTCTGTTTTCAAATGGAAATTTACTTAGTTTCTTTGTTTTATTTTTCCAAAGTTAAAAAAATGTACACATTTCATTGTGGACTTTTCATATATATAGAGAGGTTGTTGTGATTTACTTTCTCTCCCACTACTCTTCTCCAACTGACTTGAATGTCTCTTGCTGGAGAATTTATAGACTGTTAAGCTGAACAAACACTGGAATTTGGTGACAACAGAGAGGTTCATTCTTGTTCGAGCAAGTGTTATGGTCAATTATTAATTTTGGGTGGAATTTTCCCTTTGACCTTGAACCTATTCCATATATCTTTAAATGTAATAGAATGTGCTGGTCTTTGTTGCATTTCTTTCAAGATCTTTTCTGACCTGTTTTCATTTTTGCAGGATACTAATGGTCCAGGTTAATATAATTTATCAAATCACAACGACACTGCATGTATTGTATCAGGATTAGGTTCAGTGTAGTGTAACAGAAAAACCTGGATAATAGGGCCTTAGAGAAAGTCACATTTATTTCTTTTCCACATTAAATAACATCGGGGTGGCACAGAGGCTCCGCAAAGTTGTCAGGGACTCCACTCCTCTTATTTCACTGTTACTCTATCTGTAGGCAACAACTTTCCCTTTATAGGATACCAAGTGCCTGAAAAGGTTCCATATACCACATCTTGACTCAACTAATAGGATGGAGGAAAGAGACAGAATGGTGTCTCTCTCTGTCTTTTTTTTTTTTTTAGGGAATTTTAAAGTTTTAAGTCCTATATACCTTACCTGGCTAGATTTCAATAGCCAGAATTTTATTAGATGGCCACTTTTACTGAAAAGGAGATTGGGAAAAGTTAGATTCTGGTGGGGTTTAAATGCAGGTTTGTAACATGAGATAATAAATACAGAGAGACAATTTGAAGTCTCTGCTACAGGTACCTTATATGTGTCTCACTTTTGATAAAAAAAAATCACTGGTGGTATTCTTGGATAGTGTCATCTGGGTCATTAATGGACATAATTAACCTAAGGATTTTCCCTGTTTCTATTTTATTTCACTTTATGGTAAGAATTACATTAGTTGCCTGTAAAATAAGCCCAAGTGGAAACATATTAGGCAAAATGGAGAAATTACTGGAAGGGTGCAAAGAAACTCTCAGAAGAGACGGACCTACACCGAGGGCAGAAATTTCGCCACTGGTCAAGAAAACCTGCAAATGAGGATTTGAGTATCCAAGATAGCCATCTTCTGTACTTCCCTCTTTCCACTGACTTTATTCTCTTGATGCAGAACCATTTTCTTCACTCACTTGGTAAAAAACTACATCCAGCAATATCTCTCAGTAAAATCTAGTGAGGCTGGGAACCTGTCTTCCAAATACAAAACTCCTGGATCTTTTTGGACAGGTGTCCAACTCTTGCCCAGGGAACTACGGCCAAGGACAGTCAGCAGTAACTTGGATGTTAATCCTGTTGCCATCATGATGGAAATATGGAAACAAAAGAGGCAACTTCCCTATAGGGAAGGTGGGTATTGACCACATACCACATACAATTGAAAAGTTTCTATATATATGATGTAAAAATATAGGTCAGTGATCCAAGTTAAATGATTAGTAAGGATGTAGACATAATTAGTTGCTGGTAAACATTGTTTAACAAGGCTTTAATTGTATATATTGTTTACTGTATTTTAGGCATTATGCTCCATGCTTTTTAATATATTGAGTTATTGATTCCTTTATAACTCTATAAACTATTATTATCCCTTTTACAGATAGAAAGATCTGAATTTAGAATTAGATAATCTATCCAAGGTCATATATATAATTGAAGAAACCATACTTGGGTTTTATGTGTGTATGGTGGTGTGGTATAGGTATATGCCTGTGCCCATGCACATTCATGCAGAATCCAGAGGAAGATGTTGGGTGTTTTTCTGCATTTCTTTCTGTCTTATCCCATGAGAGAGGGTCTTTCACTGAATCTGCAGTTTGATGTTTCAGCTAGGCAAGCTGGTCACCCAACCTGTCTTGGCTCTTTCTGTAGGGGTCATAAACACGTGCTGCCACGCCTAACTCTCTTTTAAAATATAGGCACTTAGGATAGAACTCAGCTCCTCATTCTTGCACAACAAAATCTCTTGTCCACTAAGCCATCTCTCCAGCTCAAACTATACTTGTTTTAAGGCTAGGTGCGTGCGTGCGTGCGTGTGTGTGTGTGTGTGTGTGTGTGTGTGTGTGTGTGTGTGTGTGTGTAAGCCAGGTGTCAGCATTGGGTGTCTTCCTTGGTTGCTTTCCACTTTATTTTCTGGAGCAAAGCCTCTCAATGAATCTTGACCTCATTATTTTCAGTTACCGAGCACTAGGAGTCTTCTAGTCTCAGCTCCCTGAGTGCTGGGATTACAAGTGCATGTCACCATGGGTGCTGGGGATCTGAACTCAGGTCCTCATGCTTGCATGGCCAGCAGTTCACCAAATAATCATCTCTTCAGTCCAAGTTTTGAACTACTAGGATAATAAACTGCCTCAATCCAGAATCCAGTCCTCTGTCTTGAGTTAGAAATTATGGTAATTTTTCATGTGTGTGTGTGAGAGTTTTCTCGCACGCGCGCACACATGAGCATGTCACACGAAGGGTCCTCTATACAGATCAAACTCACTGTAGAGCTGAGGGTGGTCTTGAGCATGTGATCGTCTTGACTAAGCCTCCTTAGAGCTACTGGAGATTGAACCCAGTACTTTGCACATGCTAGGAAGGACTCTGAGCAACACTTTTTAAATTTAAAATTTCTTTTTGAGATTATAATTACAAAATCTCTCTCTTCCCTTTTCTTCCTTCAAACCCTCCCAAATATCCCTCCCCATTCTCCTTCAAATTCACTGCCTGTTTTCACTAATTGTTATTGCATATATATGTACATATATATATGTGTGTGTGTATATTCATATATATTCCTAAATATAACCCATTGAGTTTGTATAATGCTATTTGTATGCATTTGGGACTGACAATTTGGCACAGGACAATCAACTGGTGTGATCTTCTCTGGGGAAGACCACCTGTCTTGTTCCCAGCTTTCCTCTACTGCCTATAGTCCTTTGTGTAGGGTTGAGGCCTCATGAACTTTTCCCTTGTTCACTTTGGCTTGTCCATTTGGGGATCATCCTTGTTCAGATCACATTTGGTGTAGTTCCTGATGTTACTAGCATATGCAATATCATAGCAAACTCCCTGATACTCTGACTGTTAAAGTCTTTCCATTCCCTCTTCAGAAATGTTCCTTGAGCCTTAGGTACAGGAATGTTTTACAGATGTATGCATTGGGACTGGGTTCCATAAGCCTGCATATTGATTGGTCCTAGTGTTCTGTAGTGTTTTCCATCTGTTGCAAAGAGAAGTTTCCTTGATGAGGAGTGATGACTTCACTTATCTGTGGGTACAAGGACAGATGTTTATAGGTTGTTTCTAGGGATTGTGCTAGCTTAGTAAATTGGTGGTTATAGATTTTCCTCCAATAGCTATGACTTCATTAGCCCTGAGTAGTTGGCTAGATTTCCATTACCAGGCATGTTTTCCCTCTTGTTGAGTGGGAAAGTCCACTTGAAAGCTGTTGGTTACCACCAAGCACTGCACCCTTCTTGTGCCATGCTGGTCATTAATGTGGTTCACAGGTGTCATCGTTGAGTAGGAGTGTGCTGTCTTCCTCATTTGGAAGCTTGCATGCCTTCTGGTACCATGGAAACTAGTCCTCAGGGAGGGGACATTCAGATCAGCTCCAGCTCAGGTGCCTCTGGGCCCTGTGTCTGAAGTGCATGGTGTTTTCAGCAATAGGGACTCACCTTTCACCTCTTTCCCAAGGCAACAAAGGGCAACATCAATAGGCTGTAAGTTTTGAGAGTCTCTTAGCCCTAACCAACTCAAAAGAGGCCTTCTTATGTTTGGTATTGGGATTTTTGTTAGGTGGGAACATCATTAGCCTAGACAATCCAATTTCCTTTCTTTTTCTTCCCTCCCTTCCCCTCTGTCCTCCTTCCTTTCTTTTCTTTCTTTTGGTTTTGTTTTTCTAGACAGGGTTTTTCTGTGTAGCCCTGGTTGTCCTGGAACTCACTTGCAGACCAGGCTGGACTCAAACTCACAAACATCTGCCTGCTTCTGCCTCTGCTTCCCAAATGCTGGGATTAAAGGCGTGCAACATCACACCCAGCTGACAGTCCACAGTTGATTTTTTTTTCAACCTTATGTCTGCCATTGTGGAGCTAGATGAATTAGATAAAACTTGTAATCTTAAATCTTAATCTTTTCATCTAAAAAAGAATGGATTAAATTAAATTACTTTCTTCCATATATCAGCAGAGATATTTCAGAAGGCAGTAATAAAAGGTTGATGGGGGAACTCCTTCTGTGTATATGTTGTCTTATTGGTTGATAAATAAAGCACTGCTGGCAATAGGGAAGCAAGATAGGTGGGACTAGGAGTTGAGGAGGATTCTGGGAAATGTAGTCAAGAGTAGACAGTTGCCATATGATCCTGGGAAGAGAGGACTCATCAGGATGGTGTACTTGGAAAGATAATTACTTATAGAAATATATATATTAGTTGTCATGTTAACACTTAAGACAGAACTAGCCAATGAGAAGCTCTGGACATTGACAGAATTGTAACTAATAGAGTCTCTGTGTGTTATTTGGGGTTGAGAAGGCACTAAGATCAGGCTGGGGGGAGGAACGCTCGTTATGAAAGGTAATGTTTTAAAATTTTTAATGCATTCTATATTTTTGAGTGCTTCTTGAACCTGCAGTCCTTTGAAAACTGTGATGAAATGAAACATATACAAAATGAGGTTTCTTCCTACAGAGTTATAAAGGAACATTTATTTTACAGAATTAAAAGTTCAGAAACAGGAGCCTTCCTCAGTGATATGATCATCAGCTCAATCGTATCTTCTAGAGTTTTCTTGTCTCACAGTCACCTTTAGTGTGTTCATTTTAAGACCAGTTTGTCCTGCACCACTGCTGTGTGCCGCACTCTAGATTTTAGGCTGACTTATTCATTCCGAGGGCAAAGAAGAGAATCCTCTCCCAAGCATGGGCTCAAAGTCTTCCTTTTGGTCTGACAGGGGCTGGTTTACTCCAGGAATATAATGATGTTAAGGGGATTAATTAGAATACTTTGGGACTATTCTGATTCTAGCACTAATCAACCTAACATAACTTAGATTCTAGGTCACACTGCAGTAAAAAAATATAGCCAAATCTCGGTGGCTTTAACATCAAAGGTAGTTCCCTTGCTCAAATTATGTGAAAAAAGTGGATGGCTTGCTGCATGCGGTCCTTGTTTGGGAACCTGTGCTCAAATGCTTTACCATCTTTAGCAATAGTAGTCTCACAGCATGTGGTGGTGGTGATGTATGCCTCCCAACTGCTCTGCAAAACTAACATGGGCAACTTAGCAAAGCCTTCTTTCAAAGTAAGGTTTGCTGGAGGCATCTGCAAGAAAAACAAACACTTGTCACCCAACCTGATGATCTGAGTTTGATTCCAGGGACCCACCAGGTAAAAGGAAGGAGGAAAGAACTGATCTTCCATCCACAAAAGTATTTCTGTAACATGGGTGTACACACACACACAAATGTAATAACAATAATTTTTAAAAAGCCATGGATGCAGATGTTGAGGCTAAGTAGTAGTGAATACTGTAAGGACTTATACTGACAAATAGATGTACCTGGAAATGACATTACTCCTGTTGGCAAGCAACAACAGAGAGGCTATCACTTGTCTCGTGATTTGGCCCAACTGCAAACATGTTGCTAAAGGCAGGTCTAACTTTTTTTTTAATGTTTGTTTGTTTTTCAAGACAGAGTTTCTCTGTATTGGAGTCTGTCCTGGAACTCGCTCTGCTTACCAGACAGGCCTCAAACTCACAGAGATCTCCTGCCTCCTGAGTGCTGGGATTAAGAGCCTTTGCTATCAACGTGTAACCTTTTTAATGTCTGAAAGAAAAGGGTAAACTCTGAAGTTTTCTACTATTCTGAGAATAGTAGACCAGGGTGGAGTTCCTTCTGAAGGGGTTACCTAAAAAACTAGCAAATTAAAACAAAAACAAAACAAGAAAGTCTTATTAATAAGGGGATGCTGGAGTGGATAGCAAATCAATCAATAGTCTGACATATATGGGACTTACACTCAATGAAGACAGGAATTTCAGCTGTGGAGGTGAGTCAGAGAGAAAGTTGGCTTTAGTTTTGTCAGCCTTTAAATCAGTCATTTACCCTCCGGTGGGAATGATTGGCTCTGCCTTTTGAACCAGGACTTTGCTCAAAAGTGGCTTTCATTATTCAAGGTCCCATCATCTTGTTTGTGGAAATAACAATATCATCCTTCCTATGATTGCCTGCAAAATAGAATACCATAGAGGTGAAATGGCGAATGGCAACCTCTGTATAACAAAGAAATGAAAAGTTATTAAAAAGGTTTTCAGGGGCCGGAGAGATGGCTCAGCAGTTAAGAATACCAGCTGCTCTTTCAGAGGACCTGATTCAATTCCCAGAATCCAACATGGCAGCTCACAACTGTCTATAACTCCAGTTCCAGGGGGTCTGGTACCCCTGCACAGACACATGCAGGCAAAGCACCAATGCACACAAAAATAAGTACATCTCTAAAAGAAAAAGAGGGAATGTTTTAGAAGTGACATCAGTTGGTCTACACTGGTAGAGATGGGAGTTCCTAAATTACTTGCTAAGCAGCTGTTGCTGATTCTCCTGAGAGCCTCATGTACCCCTGAGACCCTACTGATTTCCCCACTATAGTCATAGGATGCACCTCAAAGGTTTGATTTGAGAATTAAATGATGGAGGAAAAGAGTTTAGCATGGGGCCTTGTTCTCAGCAATGTTACACCTTCACCATTATTTTTATTATAAGCATAATAAAATGGTAGTAAATTTCAAACTAGTTTCTACATGAATGTTCACAACTTAGGAAATGTGATAGCATTCACGTTCATTAACTTTGATCTAGCTAATCTCTCAATAAAATGGCCCCTCATGTACTTCACTTTCATTTTGATAGTTCCCATTATCTAGGAGTTGACTCCTTGCCTCACATTTAAGTCTCCAAAGTTCTAGCTGATGAGTAAGAACTGACCCAGGCTGAACCATGGGAAAACGATGAGCCGACAGAGCCCTGCTAGTTCCTAGTATAAGACGTTATGGAGAAAGTTCCGAATGACTCTTTTCTTGGGCAGAGCTCGACTGTGATTTTGCAGACACACAAAGATAGGCCCCCACTTCACTTGCTGAGGGAGCAGCGGAGGAGACAGGCTATTTCGTGCTAATGCAAATCAGGAACAGGGGCTGAGAGTCACAATCCAGCAGCTGCAGTGAGAAAAGAGAGTGAGGAGTTTCAGCCACAGGGTGGGAGGCCACAGATTGTAGAGGGAAGCTTTCTATGAGCGATGCATAGAGCTGTTTAGGTACGCTCTCTCAGAAACTTAACATGGGAAGGCAGATTTGAGCTTCAGGAGTTCCTTTGCAGAGAATAGAAAAAAATGTACTAAAATTTTCTTTTTTCTTTATAGCGTTGGAGGTTGACTCTAGGCCTTATAGTATGTTAGATAAGCACTCCCTATAACTGAACCTTCCTCCCCATTTTAATTTTTGAATCATTAGTCATATTATCATTTGGGTCAGGGTTTTTGCTATATATCCAAGGATAGCACTGAACTCACTAGATAGTCCAGGCCAGACTATAACTCACAAGAGTCTTCTTGCCTCAGACTTCCCTCCTGGGATTAGAGGCATGCATCACCACGATTGGTTTAGGGTTGTAGTTTTTAAAAGGCTGGGACTGCTGTCTGCATCAACAGGGCCACTAAGTATTTCTGTTTGAAGTGAATTTTCCAGGAATTCTTTACTGGCCTGGAACTGAATGTGTAAAAGATTTGCTCCTGCATGTCGGTTGCATAGCGATGCTCCCAGTTCTGGGATGGTAGCTACATCCTGGGCATGTTCTAGGGAGAGCTTTGATAACAGGATCCTGTCACACTGAGCCCAGATCAGAACTGCCCAATGTCAGTCATCAGCTTTCCTATATTCTATGCTAGCCTATAAAAATGTGCTTTCCCGACAAACATCTTTATCATATTATTTGGATAGAAAGTGGATGGGGCAGATAAATTTTTTTATTCCTAGATATTTACTATTTAAAATTAAAGGCCAGATTAAAGGAGCAGAGGGTTTGAGGCAAACATAAAGCTTTGAACCAGGAGATCTTCAAGTACTGCAAATCATAATTAACTAGAAATGGTTCCCTTTTTCCCTTGAAAACATTCAAGTCACACATACTTGTAAAAATATTTTTTAAATGCTCTGTTTACATCCCAAAGTAAATATTCTACCACTGGCTCCTTAAAAATGTTCTAGGCTGTGGGTATAGCCCACAGGAAAACACATCCTTGGCATACACATACTCACACAAAAGGGAAAATAATTCAGATTTTTGATTGATGAAAGCTTAACCTTTAATCCACGTAAGTATGGTATAAGCCTAAAATTTGTCTATTTGTAACAACCAAAGAATGCGACTCATACACCATAACTGGAAGTTTCAAGGGAGATATTCAATAGATGAGTATGGATTTGTTGAATGATGACACCCAAGCCCTTTGACTAGAGCATAATTCTGACCCCTGCCTGAGTGGCTTTGCTTGACCTTCGATAAATCAGTGCTTTCTCCAAGATACTTCAGAGTGCTTTTATATTTCAAGGACTGACAGTAACCCAGTCACAGGTCCGGAAAAGCTGCTTAAGGCCCGGGAATTTTGTTTTTGAAAGCAGTGCTCTCTTTGCATTTCAGAAACAAAGTTCCTGGTCTAGAACACATTTTGGGAATTTATGAGCGCTATTAGGCAGATTGCATTCTTGGCAGGCTTTGGCTCCTTTTAACGTCTTGTCTGTGAGCCTTTTGATACTTAGCATCTAAAAGGCCAGTCCTGTTTACTAAGAGATAAGTATTCACAGTATTAAATATATCTATGCTGAGAGGAATAACTGTCTCGAGGGTAGTTTTTCCACCCCGCCACGCGCCTGCACCTTCAAGCTTGGGATCTGGGTCCCCAGGCTACAGGGAAGAGTTCGGCACGGGAAACTCATCTTCCGGCCCTCTGATTGGCCACTTCGCATTCCACTCATTGGGCTCCCGGCTCTGATTGGGCACGGCGGCACCCCTCGGCCCGCGATTACTTTGGGAGCCGGGGCGGTGCGGCTGGGTCCTCCCGCTCAACTCGCCCTGTGGGCCGGTCTGGGGTAGCGCTTCGGCCCACGGCTCAGCATCGCGGGCGCCAGGATCGCAGAGTGCGAGCGGGTAGGAAGCACCCTAAGGCAAAGCCTCTCCCTTCCTACTCGCGTACTCAATAAACTTCCGCCTCCGAAGGGCTGTGGCAGCTGCGGCCCGGGAAGGCCGGGCTTCGAACTCGGGCCCTGCAGGGGGTCTTGCCGTAGAGGTGGAGACAGAGCCCGCAGGGTAGCCGGGCCGCCCAGAGCCGCGGTGCCATTGTGTGCTCGTGCTGCAACCAACGAGCAGCGAGAGCACCCCGAAAGTAGCGAGGAGCCCCCCTGAGCCCCAAGGCGACGGGCCGGGCCGCCGGGAGCGCGTCCCCCTCAGCCTTTTGCCCTCAGGCGGCCTGAGACCGGTGTGGACCGGAGCCCGAGCCCGCGCGGCCGCTGCCAGGCTGGAACCCGGGTGCTGCCGTGGCCCGTGGATGCTGCAGCTGTGCCGTCCGCCCGCACAGAGGAAGGGGACGGGGCGGAGCCTGTGCACATGCCAGGGTCGCTGGAGGAGGCCGCGGCCGGCGCATGCGCGCCCTCCCCCAGAAGGCTGGGACGCCGAGGGGCGCGCGCCCCTCTCCGCGCGCGCACGCTCGCTCGCCTGCTCGTTCGCGCGGGCCGGAGGCTTCCCCGCCTGCGCTCCGGGTCGGAGCCACTCCGGCGCGTGCGCGCGTGGTCTCTGGCCGACCCGAGTGGCCGGGTTGCCTCGGCTCCCGGGCCCTCGCCGCCCCCCTCCCGGCTCCCAGCCAACCCGTTCCTCCCTTTCCTCACGGAATGGGGCCGGCGCCGCTCGGGGTCGCGCGCCCTGGACCCGGCTCGCGCTCGGTCTCGCGCTGTCAGCCGCTGCCTGGCTCGCGCCGCCTTGCGCTTTCCCCCAGTCAGTGGCGCCGAAGGCTCCGTTAAGCGGCGGCCGTGGTTCCTGTTTCCGTTTCTTCCTCTCCCTTCAGTCGGGAGTAGCATCCTCCACCCCGCCACCCCTCCCACTCTCCCGGCGCGGCCAGCTGCAGTGGCTGTGGCGACGGGGGACGGCGCCGACCGCCTCGCTCCCGCCTCGGGTAAGGGGGCGTTAGGGAGCCGGGCCCCGCGCGCCGCGGGCTCCAGGACGGGGCGGGCGCGGGCTCTGTGGAGCCTGGGCTCCGGGCGCTCCTTCCTCCTCCCGCCGATCCCAGGCCTGTTGCTGCAACTGCTGCTGCTGCTGCTGCCCATCCAGCGGCCCCGGGAAAAGTGGGGAGGGAGCCCCCGGGATGCCCCGGCGGTGCTTGGGCGCGGGGAAGGGTGAGGGGCCCCGTCGCGTCGCGCATCCCGGTTCAGGGTAGGGGCCGGAGCCTGGGACCACAGGGATGGGGGCGGGGTGGGAGGTGTCCCCTCAGCGCATCTCTGCACCTACCCCCCACCCCCGCAGCCGGGTCCCCATGGTCAGAGCGTGGGAAGGTGGGTTCCTTTGCTTTGCGGGGTTTCTGTGTGGACTTCGGGGGCTGGGAATCGGGGTGAACCTGCACAAAGATCCGCTCTGGCCAGTGGCTGAGGCAGGGCAGTTAATGGCTTGGGTGCCTTGGTATCCCCTTTCCTTTGATCTGCAAATGACAAGCTGGCGGCTGTGGAGTATCTCAACTTATTTGGGAAGGTTAAACGAGTCACATCAGTTCAGCGAGGGCTGTCCTGCTGGAGTTGAGGGCGTTTTTCCGTGGCAGCACCTGTTCTTTGGACGTGGGCATTGCAATCTTCAGAGACGTATTTCTGAAGTTAAACGGCATTGTCATGGTTAGGGTTTAGCACCCTGGTGAGCTTTTAGCGTTTTGCCTTAAACATTGAGGCCTTAGAGAAAAGCAAGGAGATTGGCGTTTTTTCTTCTTGTGTCTAATTTTGCACGTTACTTTAAAGCAAACGCAGGGTGAACCCAGGAAAACTATACCCTCCCATAGATCACTCCGAACTTAAAGGTTTCAGGGAACAAATGCAACGCAAGTTTTAATCAGTTTAAGAGTTAAATTTATCACAAGTCACTGACTTAACTTTGCCTTTGCTCCGTACAAACTCTTAAGTAGGTCTTATTTTAGTTTTCTTGCTCTTGCTGGATTTAGTGCTTATTTATCTTCTCGACTAAAGTTCTACCTTGTATGCATACTACTTTTAAAGAGTGTATCATTTATTAAGTATTCTAGGAGAGAAATTGTATACTGGAGCAAAGGAGTAAGATGTTGCTTTTCTTTAAGGCAGACTAGAAGTCTTGTGCCAATAATACGCTCCTGTACATTGCTGTCCCTGTGAAATAAGAAGTCTTAATTATAAATACTACAGCGTTTTAGCACATACAAACATTTGAGATCGCAGGCCGATTAAAAATGTAGGAGACGAGAGAGGAATAGGCTATAAGGAGCATATGAGGGTGGTTTGGAGGCATGGGTTTTTCGTTTGCTGTTCTGTAAATCGAGAATTCTGTTTGAATTGAAGAGCTGAACAGCTGGAATGTGACTTGCATAGATTTCAGGAACGTGCAGACATGTCTTTGATCAGATAGTGAGTTAATATGAAGGGTATCTTGTGACTGGGAGAGTGATTCAAAATAATTTAAATATGATACACTACAGATTGTATTATAAGGATTTTTAAAAATTTAAGATCCTTTGAGTTGTTTTCCTATAAATCTGTTTTATTTAAGGTGTGTAGAACTGAGACCAAGACAAGCATTCTGATTATATATAATATGGTCTTAAAAAAAACAAATTCTAACCAGCAATTTTTTGTTTGTTTGTTTTAGTAGTAACAATGTCCTTAAAAGTGATGAATTTTGAAATTTGCTAGTGGGTTACAAAAATTTGTGTTTCTTGTTTGTTTTTTTTTTAAATGCAGTTATTTTAGGTTGGTCTGGAGGGGGAGCTAGTGCCAAAGCAAAGTGTAGCTTAATAGCTGTTTGAACTTTTAAAACATCTAAAACCAGATTTTATGACCAGGAGAAGCATATATTTTTAATTAAAGTACCAGGGGCATTGAGGTGGGCATATTAACTGTACATAGTTATTTGTGGGGTGCATTTATTGGGTAGTAGAAATTAGTTTTAAAAATCAATCGTTATGAATGATAAATGCAAGTTTTAAAGTTTCTTGGCTTTTTCATGTAAATTTTCTGAAACTGTGTGCTAAAACTTGAGTATGTTGTGGCATTTTCTTACTCCTCTTATATGCAGTGCATGAAGATGTGTCCTTGACCCTTTATGCACGTTGCATATTTTTGCCTTATAAAATCCGAACTCCCTATAAAGTAAAATAAAAAGCTTCAAGTTGATTCTTGAAGGGGCAGATACATCCATTGCGTAGTGAGTTTTCCCTGCCCAAAATAGGTAATTTCAGCAAGGAAATGGGCCCTTTGGGTAGCTGGACAGCAAAGTCAAGGTCATTTTGTAGTCCTATAATATGATGTTGAATTTGTTTGAATATAGAATAGTTATTTTGCGTTCTGTGGCATTTTGTTTAATTTCTAAACTATAATGTATTTGATTTTTTCTTTAGATCCACACAAAGAAATTGATAATGTGTATTTAAAAATCATTAAAATATTTATGTTTTGAGGGTAGCCTTTTGTTACTCAGGCTCTTCACTTAACTAAACAGAACCTTAGAGTGCTAATTAAAAAATAGGTTTCTTTCCGTGCAGTTATTGATTTACTTTATAAATTGCATAGTACAAACATTTAGTTTAACTAATGATATTTGCACACTTTTTATAGCATCTGGAAGTATATCATTTTACAAATGCAAGATTTTTTTTTAAAGTCAGTATATTTATTCCTTAAAAGGAAACAAAAGTAAGGTTTCAGGACATCTGAAAACAGAAATACTCTCTACATCCACCTGTGCCTTTCAGAGGAGTACAACAGCAGTAAGGATGGGCCCAGGTTTCCCTTTGGTTCTCTTATGCTCTGGTGTTTTTGAGACAGGGTTTCTCTCTGGTTTTGGAGGCTGGATTGCTGCTTGAATTGTTTTTTAACTTGTAGTTCATTGTAATGAGACTGTAAAACGTCGTCAAAAGTAAACACAGATTTACAACTGATCTTTAAAGAGTCTTTTAAAAAATTCCTAAGAGACTATTTGGAATTTATATGATACTGTGCATTTTCCTTTTGATAGAATATGGGTCAAACAGGGGCTGTGGAATTAGGCCATACATGTCAGTTTAAGAGTTATTCTTGTACACCACAGAATGCAGAGTGATAAAGGGTTAGTTTCCTGTAAGATGCTTGTCTGTTTTCTTTTGTGAGGCAGGATCTTACACTGTAGCCCTGGTTGGCCTGGCAGTCACTAGATATAGCTCAGGATGGCCTTGAACTCATCTTGCCAAGTTCTGCGATTATAGACATGGGGTAGCACACTTTTTTTTTTTTTGCCAAACCCTACATAGTACTTCACCCATGATTTACTACTTAAAATGGTATTTCTTTGTCAGAAAAATGACTTTGTAAGGGGGAAATAGAATTTAAACAAGATACAAAATCTTATTAATACTTAGAACCAGAATAAATCTGTCTAGGGTATAGATAGCACAAATTAGTGGGCTGGGGGAATGTAACTTAGTTGATGGAATGCTTGCCTAACATGCATAAAGTATCAGATTTGATCTTGATCCCTAGCACCGTATAAATGGGATGTGGCGTTAATGGCAGGATGGTTAGAAGCTTAAGGCTGGCTGGGATAGAGACATTGTCTTAAACCAACAAACAGAAAAACAAAATGAAAAAGACAAAAACAAAAACAGAAAAATCTTCCTCACAAACCATCAAATAGGATCCATCAAACTCATTGTATTCCAATGCGTATAAATGACTTGATTTTATAATTACCTTATATATTTCTAATCAGTTGACAGTAAACTTAGCTTATTGATAAAGATGGAAAATAATTAATAGCTTTTCTACTAAATCTAGTGTCTGGGGCTTGGGAACAGTCCTTGAAGACAGGGAGGCTCAGCGAAGCAGAGGATGTTACTGGTTCATGAACCTGTCTTTGTGGTTCCTTTTGTTTTGTTTGACCTACTCTGCAGCCCAGGCTGGCCTCAAATTTGCTGTGATCCTCAAATCAGACTTCTGCGTGCTGGGATTGCAGTCATACGCCGCTAGGTCTTGTTCTGTCTTTATCTTTGTGATGTATTTTTTCTCTTAGGTTCATAGACTTTTCAGGTAAAACTTTAGTTGGTGTGTTGCATAGTTTTGTTTTAGTGATTTCAATTTTTTTTTGAGGCAAAGACAAAAGACCAGGATGCCAGTTTTTATCTTTTAACATTGTTAAGTGAAATTGACTGTAACTTCATTTGAAATAGGATATGGGTTGGTGGGTATGTGTCTCAGTGGTAGAACATGTGCTTAACACCAAAAACAACAGAGAAAGGTAGTATGGGATTAGAAAGGTTGCAAGTAGCACTATTTTTCTATTTAAGACTACTAGTAGCCTAATTTCCTGGAATGCATTCTCTCGTCTCTTAATGTTATTTCAGTCTTTGTCTATAGAGTTCCTGACTACAAGGATCTATTTTTTTTAAGAAAATGGATTTTTTTTTATCTTTGCATACTTCTTTATAATAATACATTGTAAAAAGCAAAACAGAACACCGAGATTCATTA